GGGCAGAGGGAGGGGGAGGAGAAAGGAGGTGAAGAGGAGAGGGAGAGAGAAAGAGAGGCCAAATGGAGTGGGGGCGGTGGGGGGGGTTCGGTGTTGTAGTGGTGTCAGAGGCAGGGACAGAATGGAAAATGTTGAAACAGAGAGACTGTATTGCAGAGAGAGAGCGCACAGGGACAAAATACACAGACACACACACAGAGACAGACACAGAGTATTGGACAGGATGGAGCAGTATGGACTGAGCTCACATCCCCGGGCTCAGCAGTTGTAGCACTGCGTGCGCATGGTTCCTGTCTTCACACTACAGGCAGGATGTGATCGCACTGGAGAAAGAGAGGGGGTGCAGAGGAGATTCACCAGGGTGTCGCCCTGGGAAGGAGCGATTCAGAGAGAGGAGAGAGGCTGGGGTTATTCTCCTTACTCTAAAGAAATACTGACAGGTTTTTGATTCGATTTTGTATAGTCATATACCCAAGTACAGTGAAAAGTTCTGTTTTGCTAGCAGTACAGGCAGATCATAGCAAACAATGACACACATACTACAGGATGATAGAACAGAGCGAGGAATACAAAGTTACACTGCACAGAAGGTGCACAAAACAAGGTCGACGTTAGACTTGAAATATGAGGGCTCCATTCAGCAATCTAATAACAGTGGGGAAGAAGCTGTTCTTGAACCTGTTGGTGCGTGTGTCTGTGATTCTGTATCTCCTGCCTGACAGAAGAGATTGGAAGAGACTTTAACCTTCGGGAGCGGGGGAGGGGGTTCTTTGATGATGTTGGCTGCCTTTCTGAGGCAGCGAGAAGTGTAGATGGTAGTCTGTGGATGGGAGGTCGGTTTCCGTGATGGTCTGGGCTGTGTACACACCGCCTTCTGTAGTTTCTTACGGTCCTGGGCAGAGCCGTTTCCGTACCAGGCCGTTATGCACCAGGACAGTGACGCTTTCAATGGTGCATCTGCAGAAGTTGGGGAGGGACCTTATGGACATGCCAAATTTCCTGAGCCGCCAGAGGAAGGAGAGGCATTCTCGTGACTTCTTGACTGCCACATCTCCGTGGGAAGTCCAGGACAGGTGGTCAGTTATCATCACTCCGAGGAACATGACACTTTCCACCCCTCTCAGCTTCAGCCCTGTTGACGTAGATGGGGGTGTGTCCTCCTCCCACCTTCCCGAAGTCACTGACCAGCACATTAGTTAGACTTCTGAACAGTTCCCTCAAATTTCAAATCGAATGCTGAGCTTGTTATTTTTTTTGTGCACCCTTTGCCTTTGCAGCCGTGACTTTGTACTCCTCGCTCTGTTCTGTCACCCTGTGATCTGCCTGTACTGCGCGCAAAACAAAACTTTTCACCGTGCCTAGGTACATGTGACTGCAATAAATCAAATCAAGGAAGCCGGGGGTGAGGGCGGGGTGCAGGGTCTGATTGACACAGACACCGTTCTGACAGGGAGCAGGGAGCAGGCAAGGAGACACAATTACGGCTTGGGAAAGGGTCCGAAAGTCGGGGAGAGGCGAAGGAGCAGGAGTTTTAGAGGTTAGAAGGAGGGATCTTTTCACGCAGAGGATGTAACCCACTGCCTGAAAGGCTAGGAAAGGACTGGAGACATTGAAGAAGTATTTAGATAAATAGGCAGTTGTAAGACACAAGGTTGCGAGGCGAGTGCTGGGAAATGAGGGTCAGAAATGTTTTGATGACCAGACAGACGATCCTGCCCCGGACAGATGCCTCCAAGTGAGGAAGGGTCACGGTGGTTAAAGCGGGCCTCTCACCTTGCTCTGAGTCTCTGCCTCTTCGGTTGTGGTCTTGTGCTTAGCAATTTCGTTCAGCTTAGCCAGGACGCTCTGTCGGGGACAGTAACACAGCGGTGAGCACGCAGACCGGCACGACAGGACAGGGCCAAGGGGGCCAAGCTCTCTCTCAGACCCGTGTGATCTCGTGGGCCATTCAGCCCCCTCCTCAAGCCTGTCACGCGGGAACAGGAGGAGGCCATTCAGCCCCCTCAAGCCAGTCACACGAGAATAGGAGGCGGCCATCGGGCAGGCTCTCTGTAGAGTCAGTTCCCTCCACGCCCCACGGAGACCCCCGTGCGGTCAAATCTCTCACATCAATGCCTCCCTACCTCCACCCTCCGGGCAATGGTCTGGTTATCTTTGGGGACCACCCCTTCCTCCTCACCGCCACCGCTACCACCAGCACCCCCCACCCCCCCACTTCCAAACACCCCCATGGAGCCCAGGGGCCGGGACCCCCACTCTCTCTCTCTCTCTAACAGAGATCTGCCCTCAAGGCTTATTGGCAGAGAGAGAGAGGGTCCTGGGGTAGCGTCCACCAAACTGAACGGGGCTGTGCTGACCCACGTGCAGGCCTTACTCCCCACCCCCACTTGCGTCACCCCCACCCCAGACCCCTGGCGATTTACCTGCAGTCGGGCCTCCACCTGGTCCAGCGTCGCTGGGTCTAAGGTGCTCACTTTGCTCTGCAGAACCTCCAGGGTGGCCTGGTGGTCAGCGGGTGAGGTTCCCCAGGGGGTGGGGGAGAGGTGAGGGGAGGGGTGGGGGCAGGAAGAAAACAGATGTTAACCTCTGTACGTGGAGCGTCACGGGTTGGGGGGGTGCGGTTTACTGGAGACGGATGTCGGAATGAGACATCGGACTGAACCCAACCCCCCCGACCCATTTCCCCTTTTGTAGGGGGCAGGGAGAATGTTTTGGAGCATCCCCGACACCGCCATCCAACCACCACCCCCCTACCCCAACTCACAGACAGGCCTGGCCTCTCTCAGGTTAGGGTTCTATCCCTATGCACACCACCACCCCACCACAAGCGCCTCTTCTCAGAGGGGAAAAGCTATAGGGAGAGGTGATGGCCTCGTGATATTGTCACTGGGCCCTTATCTGGAAAGCCAGGTAGCATTCCGCGGACACGTGTTCGAATCCCGCTCACAGCAGATGGTGGAATCTGAACTAGAGTCATAGAGCCGTACAGCACAGAAATGGACCCTTCGACCCAACCAGTTCATGCCATCCAGATATCCCCCAATCTGACTCAGTCCCCATTTGCCAGCGTTTGGCCCCCTATCCCTCTAACCCCTTCCTATCCATGTCCCCATCCAGATGCCTTTTAAATGTTGAGACTGTACCAGCCTCCACCCACTTCCTCTGGCAGCTCGTTCCACACACGCACCACCCTCTGTGAAAATGTTACCCTTCAGGTCCCTTTTAAATCTTTCCCCTCTCGCCTTAAACCTCTAGTTTTAAAAGGCATCTGGATGGGGACATGAATAGGAAGGGTTTAAGAGGGATATAGGCCAAATGCTGGCAAATGGGGCTGGGTCACATTGGGGGATGTCTGGTCGGCATGGACTGGTTGGACCGAAGGGTCTGCTTCCATGCCGTTTGATTCACTACTGTCCCTTAGGGAAGGAAATCCGCAATTTTTACCCCATCTGGATCACACGTGACTCCAGACCCCACAGTTAACAATTCCGGATGGGTAACGAATGATGGAACGAGCCAGTGCTGTCATGGAGTAAGAGGCCATTCTGTCCATCAATTCTGGCCAGACCTATCTGCGCCTGTCCCCACTTGAATATCACAACGCTTCAAGCTAAGTAACTTTCTCGTGTCTACCCATCTCGACCATTTTCTTGGGACAGCGACCTTCCTAGTTTCCCACTGCCCTCTGGGTGAGGGATTTCTGTCCTCACCTCCTTCCTACCCTCTTTAAAATGATGCTTTCCCCCAACCCTAACCCTCTCACCTCATTTGTGACCCTTAGGACCAGGGCAAAGGCTGGTTTTGTACCCTTCTTGTCATCTTGGAGTCATACAGCACAGAAACAGACCCTTTGATCCAACCAGCCCATGACAACCAATTCTCCGCGCCCCTCCCCACCCACTTTATAATCTTTCGTGCCTCTAATCGGGTCCCAACGCCCCCCACAATACCACCCCCACCCCCAACAAAACCCACAGCCTTCTCCGCTCCAAAGAAAAAGTGAGCCGAGCTCATCCAGCCTCTGCAACCTTCAAATGTCACCTCCACCCGATCAGATGACACTCCCACTCCCTCGATCCCCACTCCACTTCACTCCACTCCCCTCCCCTGCCGTCCCGTCTGTAGGAGTCCCGAAAGGAGGAGGTAAACACTACGTGCTCACCATAAGGCATGAGCCCTGCAGTCCCACCGTAAGAGGGTTCTGTGACAAACGAGAGAGAGAACAAAGAGGTTTGTGCTTTTTTTAAAAAAAAAGAAAGCCGGGGCTGAGAAAGCCCGCCCGACGACCCCGCCACAAGCTTTCGGGAAGCTTCAGCGTCCACAATCCCCTTCCTTGGCACACCCCCAACACCCCACAACCCCCGACTCCCGCCCCGAAATACGATCCAATTACAGAAAGACCCCGCACCTGTCTCTCGGGGTCCGTGCCCACGGCCGTCTCGAGATCAGCTAAGCGTTTTTCCAGCTCTGCGACCTGACAGTGTTGGACGGTGGGGGGGGAAAAGAGAGAGACAGATAGACACAGAGAGAGTGAGAGAACGTTAGACATTGGGGCCCCTTCATGGAAATAACAAATCTTCTTTTCCCTCATTTTCACTTCGTGGCGCACGGGGTTTAATTTCACAGTTATTGTTTCCCAAGATGGTGCTTAGCACTGCCAAGGACCCGGGTTCAATCCCACCCTCTGGCGACTGTTTGTCTGTCCGTATGGAGTTTGCACATTCTCCCTCTGTCTGCGTGGGTTTCCCCCGGGTGCTCAGGTTTCCTCCCGCAGTCCAAAGGTGTGCAGGTTAGGATTGGCCATGGGAAATTGTCCCATAGTGCCCAGGGATGTGCAGGTTAGG